TCCGCATAAACGAACAGGCCCCTGGTAAACAATAGTACACGTGCGTGCCGATGATATGTCAACACCCGATATCGAGATTTTACCGGGAAATGTATAATCACACGTATTTCAGGAATAAAGCTTTCCAATTCATAGACATAAACAGACTCACGGGAAAACAGTGACGTGAGACCAAACGACCTCAAGAAGATCATATAGGAAACGCTTTGAATGCGGACGTACCAACCTCACATGTGCAAGCTCGAGGTCGTTTCGATTTTCGCTGTTGAGGGAGTTTCGCTCTGTCGATTAAATCGTATTTACAAATGTAGTCTACTTACTCTGTGAAAATAATGTTTTGTAAAATATCAAGATACCTATGAAATGCATGTGTGAGTGCACGTGAGAACGGCATACCATGCGATAGCCTCTGGTCACATATGTACCTGACATGTAATTATAAATATACCGTGAGTTAGCGGACTGTGGAATGATGTCCAAAGTGTACATGAGGGTAATTTGGTTCCATTAAAGAACAATACATTGATAATTTTGATATCATATTTTTGATTTATTTCCATCATTTTTGTTATATGTAAACAGAGATAACTGTCATTGTGTAAATGGCACCCCTCTGCAAAAAGTTCCGATTTTTTTCAAGGAAGATAACTCTCACCCGGATCGAAGTGATTGTAAAATGTAAAATAAATTAATTATAAAGCCATTGTTTATATCTTGTTCAATTTCCCACTCTATATGTATAGATCTTTGTGTCCTGTTTGCTTTTAGCTTGTAGATAATCACTTTTATCCGTAAAAATTCAATAAAAAACACTTTGTGTAACATGTGTTACATATTTTGCGATAAATAAAATATTTGTAGGGTTAATTAGAAATGCTTCTTTTCATTTTATTATTGTTATTATTGTTCCGAACAATGCCACACACAAAAAAAAACCGGAAAATATTAAAATTGATGAAAATTCAATTTTTTGGTATCTTTTCCAAAAAAGTCCCCAAACTATCAGAATGTTTAGATTTTCATAAAATCAACTCTACATAGTTGCATGACCATTCTATGATAGTTTCAACGAATTTTGCTCATTAATTGCGAAAGTGTGGAGCCACCTTAAGGTAAGTGATCACCTGATTGTCGGCACGGGTATTTGATTTAAATCTTTAATATAATGTGTTTTGTTTATGTTATACACGATTTGTCTCCGTTTAATACGGGGTGATAGTTGTGCAGGACAGCACACTATATTTCTATTTTATCAAGATTCAGGTGTTAAAACCTGGTACACGGATCATTATAGAACTATTGAAACACATGCAGATCAAGTATTACAGTAAATTCACTAAATTGAACACATTCCTAATTTAAAACCTGAGTATAAGGATCAGTCCAACTATACAGTCTTAAGCAGGTCCAGTACACTCTGCC